ATATTTTTGTGAGGGTACACAAAGTATATCCTGGCATGTTCTCTTAAGGCTGACAAGAACATTATTGATCAAGTAAGTTCATATTCCTATTTCCCCTGGGTCACTTGAAAGAAACTGCAAAATCCTAAGTCAATATATAGGAGACCTTTGCTTCCCATTCCAACAATAAAAACAAAATTCATAGCGTCACAACCTTCCTTTCAAAGGAATCAGTCAGGTTAATGAGAAAGAACTATTGCAGTAGATGTTTGTTTTCTTTTTTCTAATAATACTTTTTAAAAAGTGTTATGTAGGAAGCTGAGGCAGGAGGATCACTCAAGCCCAAGAGGTCAAGGCTTCAGTGAGACGTGTTCATGCCACTGCACCCTAGCCTGGGCAACAGAACAAGACCCTGTCTCAAAAACACACAAAAAAAGATGATGTGTGTCCCAATCTGTGTGTTTAAAGAGTATTAATTTTTAAAATTTGAGAGTTTGGTCATAATTAGCATAGTGGTAGTTGAGGTGGAGGAAAGAATAAATTCAAGACAGATTTAGAAAGTTAAAGGAGGCTCTTATTGGATGTGGGATGTGAGGAAGACTGAGGAGTCAAGACAGAGTCCCAGTTTTTTAGCTGAGCATCTAGGTAGGTCGTTCAATAACAGTCATTTAACATGTATCAACTGTAGTCAGCTATTTGAGGGGGATGGGAATACAGGGAAGAACAAGTCAGATGTTAAACAGTCATGTGAATAATGAATTGTAGCAAAAAGGCGAAGTTCAAGGCACTCTGAAAGCAGATAAACTCAATTTTTGTTGGGAGAGGAAACTCAAGAAATAAGAGGCTGACCAGGTACAGTGGCTCATGCCTATAATCCCAGCACTTTGAAAGGCCAAGGCAGGAGGATGGCTTGAGGCCAGGAGTTCCAGACCAGCCTGGGCAACATAGCAAGACTCCTCTGTCACTACAGAAACTAAAAAAAATGACTGGCCACAGTGGCTCACTCCTGTAAACCCAGCACTTTGGGAGGGCCAGGCAGGTGAATCATGAGGTCAGGAGATCAAGACCATCCTGGCTAACAAGGTGAAATGAAACCCCATCTCTACTAAAAATACAAAAAATTAGCCAGGCACGGTGGCACACGCCTGTAATCCCAGCTATTCGGAAGGCTGAGGCAGAAGAATCTCTTGAACTTGGGAGACAGAAGTTGCAGTGAGCCAAGATCGCGGCACTGCACTACAGCCTAGGTGATGAGCAATTCTCTGTCTCAAAAAAAAAAAAAAAAAAAAAAAAATTCGCTGAGCATGGTGGCACACACCAGTAATCCCAGCTACTTGGGAAGCAGAGGCAGGACAATTGCTTGAGTCCAGGAAGTCACCTGAGCCAAGATCACACCATTGCACTCCCTCCTGAGCAACAAAGTGAGACTGTGTCTCAAAAGAAAAAGAAAAGAAAGAAAGAGAAGAAGAGGGAGGGATGGATGGATGAAGGTGCTATTCACGAATGAGAGCTGGGATTAAGAAGTAGGTTGGAGTTGGAGGCCAGTCGCTGTGGCTCATACCTGTAATCCCAGCATTTTGGGAGAACGAGGCGAGTGAATCACGAGGTCAAGAGATCGTGATCATCTTGGTCAACATAGTGAAACCCCGTCTCTACTGAAAATACAAAAATTAGCTGGGCATAGTGGCACATGCCTGTAGTCCCAGCTACTCGGGAGGCTAAGGCAGAAAAATTGCCTAAACTCGGGAGGCGGAGGTTGCAATGAGCCGAGATCCGTGCCACTGCACTCCAGCCTGGCGTAAGTAAGCCTCCCTCTCAAAAAAACAAAACAGGATCCAAGATGGCTGATCACTAGCAGCTCGGGATTGTAGCTCCCAGTGAAAGCGCAAAGAACGAGGACGCCACACCTTCACATGAATTCTTGTTGCTCACGCAACAAGGAGAGTCCCAGCGGAGGAGCCCCACGGGTCGCCAGCGCGACTCTTGTGACCGGCGAGGTGGTTTTGCCGGCACCTCGGAGCGTTGGTTCTTGGTGCAAAGTCAGAAAAGCACCATCAATCTTAACGCCACTGATTTAGTCGGCATAGTGGGTTGCTCAGATTTCGGCGCTGAGAATCAATAAGTTGGACGTCCACTCAGAAACCCAATTACAAAGACGGTAATTATAAAGACCACATGGATAAATCTACAACGAAGGGAAGAAAACAGTCAAAAAAGGCTGAGAATACCCAAGATCAGAATGCCTCTCCCTCAGCGGGGAATCACAGTTCCTCATCAGCAACGAAACAAGGCTTGATGGAGAACCAGTGTGTTCCAATTACAGAAGCAGGCTTCAAAATGTGGATAATAAGAAACTTCTGTGAATTAAAAGAACTTGTTCTAACACAATCCAGAGAAACTAAGAACTTTGAAAAAAGGTTTGACGAAATGTTAACAAGAATACACAATTTAGAGAGGAATATAAGTGAATTGATGGAGTTGAAAAACACAATACAAGAACTACGTGAAGTATGCACGAGTTTTAACAGCCGAATTGATCAAGCAGAAGAAAGGATATCAGAGGTCGAAGACCAACTCAATGATATAAAACAAGAAGACAAGATTAGAGAAAAAAGGATAAAAAGGAACGAGCAAAGTCTCCAAGAAATATGGGACTATGTGAAAAGACCTAATCTACGCTTGATAGGTGTACCTGAATGTGACGAAGAGAATGAATCCAAGCTGGAAAATACGCTTCAGGATATTATTCAGGAAAATTTTCCCAACCTAGTAAGGCAGGATAATACACAACTCCAGATAATACAGAGAACACCACAGAGATATTCCTCAAGAAGAGCAACTCCAAGGCACATAATCGTCAGATTTACCCGGGTTGAAATGAAGGAGAAAATACTAAGGGCAGCCAAAGAGAAAGGTCAGGTTACCCACAAAGGGAAGCCTATCAGACTTGCAGCAGATCTCTCAGCAGAAACCCTACAAGCCAGAAGAGAGTGGGGACCAATATTCAACATCCTTAAAGAAAACAACTTTCAACCCAGAATTTCACATCCAGCCAAGCTAAGCTTCATAAGTGAAGGATAAGTAAAGTTTTTTGTGAACAAGCAAGCACTCAGAGATTTCATCACCACCAAGCCTGCTTTACAAGAGCTTCTGAAAGAACCACTACACATAGAAAGGAATAAACAGTATCAGCCTTTCTAAAAAATACCAAAAAGAGCATCAATATAATGAAGAATTTACATCAACTAATGGACAAAATAACCAGCTAATATTAAATGGCAGTATTAAACTCACATATATCATTGTTAATTCTAAATTTAAATTGACTAAATCCCCCAATCCAAAGACAGACAATTTAGATAAAAAACTAAAACTCATCAGTATGCTGCATCCAGACCCATCTCACATTCAAGGATACACAAAGACTCAAAACAAGGGATGGAGAAAGATTTACCAACCAAACAGAGAGCTAAAATAAATAAATAAAAAGCAGAAGTTACAATTTTTGCCTCTGATAAAATAGTTGTTAAAGCAACAAAGATCAAAAGAAGCAAAGAAGGACATTATATAATGATAAAAGGATCAATGCAACAACAAGAAGAGCTAAAGATCCTAAATATGTACGCACCCAATACAGGAATACCCAGACATATAAGACTAATAAAGAGACTTAGACTCCCACACAATAATAGTCGGAGACTTCAACATTAATATTAGACAGATCAATGAGACAGAAAATTAACAACGATATCCAGGACTTGAACTCAGATCTGGAACAAGTAAACGTAATTAACATTTATAGAACTCTCCACTTTAAATATACAAAATATACACTCTTATCAGTACCACATCATATCAACTTTATGTCTCCATTATTAAGGACAATTATAGGCATACCCATATTTAGACTGCATTCTAGCCCGGGCAATAAAGCAATACCCCCATTCTCTCTCCCTCTTCCTCTTTCTCTTTCTTCCTCTTCTTTATTCTTTTTATTATTCTTTTTTTCTTTCTCAAAAAAAAATAAGAAGAAGAAGAAAATCACTTAACCGTACTGTACAGTCTGGTCTAAAGTCGGACTTCTTGTAGACTGTGGGAAAGTATTGGTTCCCACATCGCCCGCTGCCTTTCCACCATCCCATTAATCTAATTAATGGAATACACAGTGTGGCAGTTGCCTATGTCTTCAGGTCTGTTCTCTAAGCTCACTGTCTCCACAGATTGACCTGTATGAACCACACTAACATTTCCTCTGGTCCCTGGCTTCCATTTGGGTTTGCTCACCAGGTATTCCCCCCAGGAAATCAGAGGGAAGACAGTAAGTTCCTCTAATTCTCTAATTAGAGTTGGTCTGCCTCTAATTCCCTCCCTGCAAGATTGTCTTTAAGAAAAAAAAAAAAAAAAAGTAGGTTGGGGTGGGAGAGTTGGACTTTACAGTAATTCATTTCCCTCTTTGACTTTCATTTTTCCCATTCTTAAAATGGGGGAGTTGGTCTGTGCTGTCTTAGAGGGCAGGAGTTTGTCTGATTCACTTGTGTCCCTTGGTCAGCACTGAGCGTGGCTCGGAAAAGACACTAATTAGCGTTGTTTTGTATGGATGGATAAACGAATGAATGGATGGAGGATGGATGGATGGACGGATGGACGGAGGGACAGACGGGCAGGCGGCCTTCGCCAAGTCAGCAGATCTGAAATTCTGAGGTTCAGCTTCCCCAGGTTCACGGAGCTTAGAACCTCACTGCTGTGTAAATTTCCCGCCAGCAGGCCGGGCTCGCGGGACGTGCGCAGCCGCTTCGGCGGCGCGGTGCATGCCGGGACTTGTAGTCTTTCCTCTGAGTTCGTCTGCTTTTTTTTCTTCCTCTTTCCGGAATTCCTCCGCCAGAACAACTTCCCCGCCCTCCGCCGCTCCCCTCCACCCATTCCACGAGAAAAACCCATCCCCAACCGATTTTGAATCCCTCTGCGGCTTTCCTCCCTTTTCCTAGGGATGATAATAGCATCTGGGTCAGGTCGACTCCTACCTTCGGTCGCGACATAACGCGATTCACCAGGGGCCAGATTCAAACCGCCACCTCGCGCCGAGCGTGCTTGTGCGTCCCGTTGCCAAGGCGCCGAGGGTGGATTCACCGCTCTGATTGGATCAGCCAAGGGCATGCTCTCGGCGGCGTGCGCAGGCATCAGTGCATCCGAGCCTCTGGAGGCTGTGGGGTGTCCTGGAAGCTCAGGTCCCTCAATTTCCTCAACTTTTCTCTCCCAGCCCCGCCCCTCCGCAACCCTGGGGCAATTCGTTCAGAGGCCTCCAACTGCGCTTTTCTTAAACTAATAGCGCTGTGTCTGAAAAGTTGTCAGCTGTTGGTAAATGCAATGGTACTGAGTTTCCTTACTTAAGGAAGTTACCTCACTACATCACTTGGTCAGTTGGTCAGTCACCTCTACTATCCTAGTCGCTTTCTAATTGTTAAGGTCCATAGCCTTAAGATTTGATGTTGTCCATCTTTTTAATTTTAGTGATACAGTGATAGGTCATTGTAGGGTTTTTTTTGGGGGAGGGGGGGTTATTTTGTTTTGTTTTTCAGACGGAGTCTTGCTGTGTCACCCAGGCTAGAGTGCAGTGGCGCAATCTTGGCTTACTGCGACCTCTGCCTTCTGGGCTCAAGTGATCCTCCTGCCTCAGCCTCCCGAGTACCTGGGATTACAGGTGCATGCCACCACACCCAGCTAATTTTTGTATTTTTAGTAGAGACAGGGTTTCACCATGTTGGCCAGGGTGGTCTCGAACTCCTGACCTCGTGATTCAACGACCTCGACCTCCAAAAGTGCTGGGATTACAGGTGTGAGCCAGTGTGCCAGGGTTGAAAAATAGATGCCTAATTCAATGGATTAAAGAATAAATACAACAAATATTTAAAACATATACATGTTATATTTATTATCTCAGGGTGGGAAAGGACTTCTTAAATAAATGATAATAAAGCACTACTCATAAAGGAAAAAGATGATCTGTGACTACCTCAAAATTTAAACTGCCATGTAACAAAAGACATGGTAAATCTTATTAAAAGACAAGCTACAGACTGGGAGGAAACATCTACAACACATATAACAAAGGATTGGTGCTCAAGGAACTCCTTCAAACCATTAAGGAAAAGACACCCCCACCCTCACCCCTACAAAAGAAAAGAAAAATAGGCAAATATATGAATAGGGAATTTTCAGCAGAAGAAACTCAAATGGCCAGTAAGCCAATTGAGAAATGTAAATTAAAATAATTGTATGATTTGAAATACATTAACTATACAAAAATAAAATATGTCAATGTTTTTCATGAGGTCAGATGTTAGTGAAGATGTGGGGAAACAGGAGCCTTTACATGCTATTCACACCTTGGAAGGCAATTTGGCAATGTCTCATAAAGTTGAAAATGCACACACCTTAGAACCCAGAGATTCCACTATTAGACAGTATCCTGTAGGCCCACATCTCCGTGAGATACCTTTCATCTTGTAGTTAATGTACAAGGTGACAACCTTCCTAAAGAAATTTTTACACCACTACAGAGGTCATATGTATAAGGATGTTGTTTGCAACATTCTTTATAACAGCAGAAAATACTAGAAATAATCTATTTATTAATTATTATTATTTTTGACACAGTTTCACTCTGTTGCTAGGCTGGAGTGCAGTAGTGCAATCTTGGCTCACTGCAACCTCCAACTACCCGGTTCAAGCAACCCGCCTGCCTCAGCTTCCCAAGTAGCTGGGATTACAGACACATGCCACCATGCCCAGCTAATTTTTGTATCTTTAGTAGAGACAAGGTTTCAACATGTTGGCCAGGATGGTCTCAATCTCCTGACCTCATGATCCGCCCGCCTTGGCCCCCCAAAGTGTTGGGATTACAGGCGTGAGCCATCGCACCCGGCTTGAAATACTCTAAATGTCCACTAGTAGGGTGATGGATGAATAAAATGAGATATATTCCATTTTTGTTTGTTTTTGAGACAAAATTTTGTTCTTGTCACCCAGGCTGGAGTGCAATGCACGATCTTGGCTCACTGCAACCTCCGCATCCCGAGTTCAAGTGATTCTCCTGCCTCAGCCTCCTGAGTAGCTAGGATTACAGGCACCCACCACCACACCCAGCTAATATTTGTATTTCTAGCAGAGACAGGATTTCACCATGTTGGCCAAGCTGGTCTCGAACTTGTGACCTCAGGCAATCCACCTCCCTCAGCTTTCCAAAGTGCTGAGATTACAGGTGTGATCCACCATACCCAGCCAATATATTCTAATAATGTGATAAGAATGATCCAGAGCTATATCAATATGTAAATATCCCCAAAATCTATTGTCGAGTGAATAAAAGAAAGTCGTAAAATGAGAAATGTTTTTTAAAGGTTACAATTTGTGTTAACTATAAACACATTTAAAAGTCTCTTTCATATTCTTTTAGACATATAGGTAGTAAGAGTTTAAAAGCACAGACTCAAAAGATAAGTACCATAGCCCATCCTCATGAGTATACTGGTGAGTATCCCCAGCTGTCAAAGATATGCAGCAAATTCATAATAGTAGTTGCCTCTGGGGAGAGAAGTGAAGGAAGTGGGGAGAGAGGAACTTTACTTCAAGTTTATTTAGAATGTTTTTGTTTGATTTAAACAATACAATTGAAGCAAATAGGTCAATGTATCCTACCAGGGTTTAAGATTTTTTCCCAATGAAAAACACACAGGCCATAGCAATAATATGATAAAGGAAGTTTAGCATGTTTTGAGAATAAGTACTAGTGGGATCTAAGCAAGTCTAATAGGGGTCAGTAAAGACTTCCAGGAGGCAATAGGAGTTAGCTTGGTAAGGAGTATGGGAAGAGCATTCCAGGCAGAGGGAACAGCATATGCAAAGTTGGAAGTCACAGACAGCAAAGCACGATACAGGTGAGTAACTAGGAAAGAGAGGAGAAGAGGTGAGAGACGAGGCTACCAAACCTGCATGGTCTTGTTTCCTTTTTCACAGATGTGAAACATAGCCCGAGTGAGGGGAGTAGAGACAAGGGTTCCTAATCTGTCAATTGCTCCATGATAATAGTCATGACACTGGTAATAACAATAATAATGTACTGTGTTCTAGTCTCTCTACTAGGTATTTGAAATATGTCCTCTCATAATCTTACTACAGACCTACAGAGGGTTGTTTTCCTCTCTACTTTATAGATGATGAAACTGAAGCCCAGAGAAGTTAAGAAACTTGCTCAAAGTCAGTGGCAGAAACCACATCGCAGAAGGCTTTCTTGTGCACCACGCCAAGCAGGTTGGACATTTTCCTAAGAGCGTTGGTGAGTGTATGAATTTCCTGTTGCTGCTTGTAATTACAACAAACTTGGTGACTTAACATAAATTATAGTATCTTACAGTTCTTGAGGTCAGAGGTCTGAGATGGGTCTCACTGGGAAATGAAGGCGTTGGCAGGGTTGAGTTTCATTTGTAAGCTCTGTTTCCTTGCCTTTTCCACCTGTATTCCTTGGCTGTGCGCCCCCTTCCAGCTGAAAACTCAGCAATTAACAGCACTCCGACTTCTGCTTCCGTCATCTCATCCCCTCTGATTCCTACTCTCCTGCCTCCTCCCTCTTTCATGGTGGCACGTGCCTGTAATCCCAGCTACTTGGGAGGCTGAGGCAGGAGAATTGCCTGAACCCAGGAGGCGGAGGTTGTGGTGAGCCGAGATCGCGCCATTGCACTCCAGCCTGGGTAACAAGCGAAACTCCATCTCAAAAATAAATAAATAAAAAATAAAAATTTGGACGGGCAAAAAAAAAAAAAAAACAATGACCCTTGTGATTATGTTGGGCCCCTCTGAATAATCCAGGACAATCTCCCCATCTCAAGATCAGCTGATTCTGGCTGGGTTCGGTGGCTCCTGCCTGTAATCCCAGCATTTTGGGAGGCCAAGGTGGGTGGATCCCTTGAAGTCAGGAGTTTGAGATCAGTGTGGCCAAAATGATGAAACCCCATCTCTACTAAAAATACAAAAATTAGCCAGGCATGGTGGTGGGCACCTGTAATCCCAGCTACTTGTGAGGCTGAGGCAGGAGAATAGCTTGAACCCGGGAGGTGGAGGTTGCAGTGAGCTAAGACTGTACCATTGCACTTCAGCCTGGGTGATAGAGTGAGACTCCCTCTCAAAAAAAAAAAAAAAAAAAAATCAGCTGATAAGCAACTTTAATTCCATCTGCAGCCTTAATTCCCTTTTGCCATGTAACATAACATGTTCAGTTTCTGGAAATTAGAGTGTAGACACCTTTGGGAAGGACCATTGTTTTGCCTACCACAGTAATCCACTAAAGGGCTTTAAGCAAGTGAATGACAGGGTGAGACCCACATTTTAGCATCTTCCTGTCATTGTTTTTGTAAAATGGTCATTTCATGATTTACGACAGATTGGACTTTGTAATAACTACTACTTCCAAAAAGGCTGAACAGTACATAAATATTAAATGTGTTAGGTCTAATAACACATATGGGCTCTTAATTTGAAAGAATTCTTTCCTACATGCAATTTGTGTCTTCCCCCTTAACACCCAGCAGGAATACAAAGGACTGTTATAATTGCCCCTCTATGGGTAGAGAAAGGGACATTGGCTCACCTGCCTAGGATCACGGAGCTGCTAAGGCCAGGGCCATGGTAAGAAGCTACTCTTCAGGCTCCTTTATCAGCGTTTCCTTCCTTCCTTCCTTTCGAGAGGTCCGCCCTCTGTCCCCCCAGCTGGAGTGCAGTGATGTGATCACAGGTCACTGTAGCCTCAACCTCAAGCAATCCTCCTCACCTCAGCCTCCCAAGTAGCTGGGACGACAGGTTTGTGTCACCATGCCCGGCTAATTTTTGCTTTTTGTTTGTTTGTAGAGGTAGAATTTTGCCATGATGCCCAGGCTGGTCTCCAACTCCTGGGCTCAAGCGATTTTCCCGCCTCAGCCTCCCAAAGTGCTGGGATTACAGGCATGAGCCACCGCGCCCAGCACCAGCATTTCTTTACACCATTCCTGGCCTTACAGCTCTGTGATCCTAAGCAGGCCCGTACATGGGTCGGGCATTTGGGGAAACTTAA